CGTGACAAGCTTTGGTCTCATAACCACTAAGAACAACCAAACACGATCGATACATACGTTCAACAACATTGAGTCTCCTACAGGTGTAGACACATAAATAGAAGAACTCATAGAATCGCGGGATACACCCAAATACAGAGCAAAATAAGATGACTCATAGGAATAAATGGATCCTGGATCAAATAAAACCAATGCATATCTATGACAGACCGAAACAATACCTGTAATGACAGAGTCAGAAGCAACTGCCTCTGTACGAGCATGAAGAGCATAATATTTGGTCTGACCTCCCCATTTACGGCGACCTCTACCTCTCCAACCTCCACCTCAAGGTGGCTGAGTAGGTGGAGTGGTAGCTGGTGTTGTGATCATAACTTGAGGACCTGGTGGAGCACGTGGTTCATGAGAAAACTGTGGAGGTTTACCCCTCCTAAGTGTGGGGCAATCCCTCAACATATGTCGAGTGTCGCCGCACTCAAAACAAGCTCTCGGAGGGCGTGGCTGTTGTGGCTGGCTCGGGCTAGGTCTGTTGGACTGACGACTGAAAGCACCCCGTATAGGAGGTAAACTAGATACTGGAGGTGCATAACAAGGTTCTTGGGGCCTAGGAGTAGCCGGAATACCACTAGCCGCTAGAAGTGCTGAATGAGCAGGGCGACTCACATAGCCCCTACCATGGTGAACTGTAGCTGGACACAAGTACCGGTATAAGAGCCAGACTCTCGAGACCTTTTGGCCTCCCTCTCCTCGCTCTCCCGAGAAAGCATGCGCTCTACTTTCCTAGCGATACTCACAACCTGCTAGTATGAGATTTCCATCTCCAACTCCCATGCCATGCTAATCCTGATGTTGGGATGGAGCCCCTCAATAAACCGACGGACCCTCTCTCGAACTGTAGCAACCACGGTTGGTGCATGCCTAGTAAAATCACTGATGTGAACCGCATACTCTGACACAGTCATAGCACCCTGGCGCAACTGCTCAAACATGGCGCGCCACCACTGATAGAATCTAGGGAACATACTCCATAAAAAATATATCCGAGAACTGAGTCCAAGTAAGTGAAGCTGTCTCAATCGGACTGTCCAACTCATAAGCACTCCTCTAAGCTGGACGCAGTGAAAGAAACCCCACTCGACTCCACTATGCCCATAGTATGGAGGATACAGTAGCACTCCTCAAGAAAACCATGGGCATCCTCTAATGCCAAACCACTAAAAGTAGGAGGGTGGTACTTCTTGTAGGGTGTGGGCGGCGGGAGTTTGTGCTCCTCCCCCAGCCTATGAACCTAGAGCTCTGATACCAACTTGTCACGAACATGAGATGTTGTAACGGCACCTAGTCTCTACGACTAGGTAAACCTAACACTTTCGGAATAATAAAAATGAAAGCATAAATTTAACAACTAAATGCAACAAATATTTAAATAACTGATATAAGTGTTGCTCGGCATGTACTATTGATACCCAATTTTTCTCTCATATTTTTAAAACATATATATACATACACTTTTTAAAATAGTATATTTTGCATCATCATTTAGTTTATAAGCCTATACAAGCATTTTTCATAATTTTTAAAGGCTTTAAATTAATTTCTTTCTGCATTTTTATTTTATAAATATTTGATAATTATCTTTCAAAATATTTTTACGATGTTTTAATCATCCAAACATATCATTTACACCAACATGCATGTTTTTAAATATCTTTACTTTATTTTTTCATAATTATATTTGCATTTTTAGACTAATTGCATATTTTTGCAATAATAGCCTATATTCATGTATAATTATATTATGTATGCAAAAAATAACTTTTTATATTTTTATAACATTAAGTTATTATTTTTAATCTTTTTAGTGTACAAATAATATTTTTGTTATTTATTAATTACTTTTATAAATTATGTTTTGCTAAATATTGGGTATTTAAAAACTAGCCTAAATTCCTAAACATTTTCGAACCAAGCAATGGCCCAAAACACCTAATACACTAGCCTAATAACCCCAACCCAAAACAAATAACCCCATTACCCAACCCGGTCGCAACCTACCTAAGTAAACCCGACCCAACCCCTTTTAATCGTGGCCGTTGATCTCTGAGATCAACGACCCATATCCATTCCCTCCCTTTTAATTACCTACCCAGAAACCCTAGCCCATAATCCTTGTAACCCGACGCCTCTAAATCCTCTCATCTCCCTCTCTCTCTCTCTCTGAAGAACCCTAGTTGCCTCCCTCTTAATCCCGTTGATAATGAGATTTTACCATTATTTGCTTACCATATTTGGGTTCCTTTGGTACTGGTTACTCGATTTTGGTATTACTTAGTTATTTGCTTAATTTTGGCAAATACCACCTCTATATCGGACAAGAATCGACTCAATCTTGAAGATTTGAGTGATATTCCGTCCATATATGCGAGATGAACTGGATCTTTCATACCAGTTGTCCGATTTGGAGTTTAAAACCCTAACTAGGGTTTGGAGTTTGATACTTTTCCTTTTCTGTTGTTAACTGACTTCCATGCGAGATTTCTCCCTTTTTTCGTCTATGTTTACTTGATTTCTTTCCTTACCTATATTTAATTAATTATTTACCTTGTTTGTGCATCCGATTTTACTGTTATATAAACCCCTCTCCATTCCCCTTTAAGAGAGACGGGAATCATTAAAATATATAGTAAAAACTGAAGTTATTGCTCTTTGTTCTCTAATTCTCTTGTTCTATACTCTGGTTATTGACCGGCTAAAAGCCAAGGCCACTGAAATTCTGGGTTCTTGCTCTTCGTTGATATTCCGAATACTGTGGACTTTTGCTCTTTCTTGTTTTTTCAATTAACTAGTGAGTTACTAGACTTTGTAGTTTCATTCCTATGTATTTGTGATTTGCATATGTTTTCATTCCTGGAGTTTTGCTTAATGTATTCTTTCGGGTTGTTTCGTGTGCAATTCTGTTTGTTCTACTTCAATTTTAGCTCTCCTTAACTTTTAACTTTATATTAATAGTTTAGAGCATGCCTAAACCTGATTTGGATAAATTATATTCCTTTCAAGCTTACCTAACCTATGTATTGCCACTTACTGATATTTAGGATCTTTTCGCTTTAGCATCTCTCTGTTGATTAATTTTTCTCTCAATCCTATTACTTGAACATGCTTTACTTACATAATTTGTATCCCTTTTAATAGACTAGTTGATTGTGGTCAAAAGCACGAATGTATACATTCACTATATGTCACAAGTCTGTTTCCTATTCTATTCTGAATTTGTTGTGATGATATCTTGCCTATATAGCATGTTTGATCATGTTCCCTATTAGTATGCTTCTAGTATGTCTTGACTTCCTAGTAGTTGTAATGATCTGTTCTCATCCTATCTAAATTCTGTTGCTAATTAATATGATTCTCTCTTGTAACACTAGGACCTATACTTATCATAATTTGAACCTTTTCCTTACTATGAGTCTGTGTACACCAATCCTGCAAACCTGTTCTATTAATGTGTGACTACTTATGCACTAGGTGTTAAACTTGTTCTTCTAAATCTTTGCTAAGTCTGTTTATAAAACCTAAAGCCTCAGTGTTGTCTCTCACCCTTAGTTTACTCTCTTTCACTTGTTACCTAGGTTCTTTTCAGTTCTCATTCTTAGCTGGCTGAAATTCAAGGCTACCTAGGTTCTATCATTGACCTCCCTAGTATGAGCACTGCTCGGGGTCCAATTGAGACCCTTGTGAACTCTAACACACTAGGGTCTAAGGTTCCTTGGCACTTTGTCCTAACTGCTCCATTCTGTCTTTTTTCACCTACTGCATAAGCCAATGGGCTTGTGTAAATGTTTGTTTTCTGGACCTTTGATCAACTATGGCTACTGGGTTTTGGCTATTTTGTGTTGGATTGACTGTGACTTCTGGGCTATGGTGAAACCTGTATGGATACGAAATTGAAGGCCTGGCTGGGCTGGGTATACTTTGGGCCTGTCTTAGGCCCACTATAGTTATTTGTAACTTTGTAGTTTATATCATTCATTGGGCCTGTAATAATATTGTAATAACAATTGGGGTGTTAGTAAAATTGGGAAAATGAGTCTATTCTAATATTTGCATAAAAGGGGTAGAAATCCTGCCTATAGGTATTTAATTCGTTCAGCATGTTCTGCTCCTATGTGTTTGTTAGATAACCTGCCTATATGACCTGAGTGTTTAATTCGTTCAACATATCCTGCTTCTAATGTTTGTTAGATATCATGCCTATAGGAAATAAAATGTCAATGACCATTCTTTCAATCTACATAACTACATCATATTCATTAGATTCTTTGACTATAAGATTATGTTCTACTGATTTTTATCTAAAAAAACCATGCCTATAGGTCTTTAATTGATCAATTTGCTGCTATTATTATACTACTCACCTAGAATTCATGCCTATAGGAGTAAAGTATAAAAAAGTCAGTTTCAATCGTTGTTCATTGGAAATCCTGCCTATAGGACATTACCACTCGCTTTAAAGTGTTAATATTGAACTTTCAAACACTGTTTCGTTGCTTAGCTATGCCATCGTTAGAAAGCATGCCCATAGGATCAAACTGAGTAATTTTGAGCATTTCCAATAGTTATCACTGCCAGCTACTACGTAAATCACCCAGAGATCATATCTATAGGGTTAATCACCACTACTAGAAATTAGGGCTATGGCAACGTTTCTTATTGCAACGGATCTGTAACCATTGCTATAGGGGGTGTATCGCAACGGATTTTAACCGTTGCCAAAGGTTATTGGAACTATTAGGACACTTTAGCACCCAAACCGGTGCAACATCCTACGAACCGTTACAATAGATGTTTATATGGTAACAATTTCTATAACCGTGGCAATAAATCTATCTACTGTAACGGTTGATTAAAAAAATTTCTCTATAGCAACGTTCATTAATTCCCTCCATATTTTTCACCCAATTTTTCTACACCCGCTAAAATTATTTTTATATCTAATAAAATACTAAAATCTAAATCCCTAATTTTAGTACAACCCCCACTCATTCCTTCGGCATTCTCTCCCAAAGATTGACATAGGCCTCTATCGTTCATCCGGAAATTACTAGGAGCCCATCCATCATCGGCGGCTGCTTTTCCCAAAATCCCCAAAAGTCAGTTTTTTTCCGTTTTCGATCGAGGATGAATGTACACAGGTAGGTTACCTGGATTGATGCTTCCATGTCTATACCTAGAATGGTAATTCACATATTTACTTCGTCCTCTTTGTAGAGCTTGAAATGTTAAATATGGTTCCATTCTATGCCTAAACAGTAATTTATAGATTTACTTCATCCTCTTTGTAGAGCTTTAAAAGTTTGCAATATGCTAAAATTGATTTTTTTTTCCTTTCCTAATGACGTGATGCAGGCTTTGCATTCAGATCCTATTGTTACAAATATTGCAGGGTAATATTTTTACACTAATCCTTTAGGGTTTCTCCAATTGGTGTTCGAGTTTATGGTCAGAGAATCGAAAGACAAGTTGAAAATCGAAGAGCCCTCATTCTTTCTTGTTCAACTTATTAATTTCTTCCTTCCTTAAAGTGGTGAGTATTTTCTACTGAAGCTTTGATTCTAAGTTAGAGATCTATTAGGGTCTTTTTGTACCGTAATTCCTCCATTTTTGCTCTCGAATTTATGAGAAAAATAAAAAAAATCATCCTAATTTAATCATGTTTTCTATTGTAAAGGTCGCATATTTTCCCCTTTGAAGCAGACTAGCAGCATTTTGCTTTGTATTTAACGAGCAATTTGCTTCTATAGTCTTAAATCCCGTGCTAGATCGAAGGGATAAAATTTAAATTTAGATATAATTTTGCCTTTTTCTTTCTGAACTCCCAGTTAAGTCGAGTTAAAATGATAAAGCTATTACTATGTTTTATGTGTTTTTTACGTCTTGGTTTCCTGTAATTCTTCCATCTAATATTGCAATTCTTGAACTAAATTAACCTTGTGATTGCCGTGATTTTGGTTTCAAGGTGAGCAGAATATAAGTAGTTCCTGGTTTGAATTACTTACAGTTCATCAGAATATATGTTTTATCTTCTTAGAAGGGCTTGTCTCAAATCACAACCAAATCATATAGCTATTTCTCATCATCATCATCCTCTTCAGTGTAGAGCTGTTGAGCTATGTTTTAATGTGGCACTTAATAGGCTTCCAACAAGTCCTGGTCCACTCCTACATGGCCAGCCTTGTTTGTCTAATGCTTTCATTGCTGCACTCAAAAGATCACAAGCTCATCAGAGAAGAGGCTGCATAGAACAACAGCAATAGCAGCCTCTTCTGGCTATTAAGGTTGAGTTAGAACAGTTCATTTTGTACATTTTAGATGACCCTAGTGTTAGTAGGGTTATGAGAGAAGCTGGTTTCTCTAGCACTTTAATTAAAAGCATAAAAACATGCACGATGTTGATAAAAATGAATTTGCTTACTTCCTCGCCAAACATTTGGTCAAGAAAAATAGGTCAAATACGATAAAATTCATCAACCAATACAAAGCAAATAATTGGAAAAACTACAACATTTCTCTAAAAGCAAATTATTTAGGAACGTTAGGAATCAACTTCTTATGTTTCTTCAGTCTTTCAGTGCTACAATAGTAGCCTTGCTGGGATTAACTCTACACCTAGCTCTACTGATTCTTACTCAAAAATTCTTAGCTAGAATATAAAAGAAAATGCCTTTTAACATATATGTTTATATTGTATAAGATAAATTCTGGATTTCCTTCTCAGAAAAATAAATTTTAGATTACGAAATTCTTTCTTGTTCAAAGATTGTGTGGTTCAGAATGTTACACTGAATCTGGTTGGAATATTCAGTTAGTAAGGGATTTTGATGATCGGAAAAAATATGAGATTGGTCAGTTGTTAGCTATTTTACAACTCCATTATGTTTCACGAATTGGTTTTAAGGTCAGCGTGGGCTGCTACCAAAAGTGTGTTGATTGACGTATTTATTTGCAGAAAACGTCCAAAACCAATACAGAGAATCGAAAAGAGTTGAGGTATCCACACACTGATTGCAAAAAGTTATGCTCTAATCTGCGAGGTTTGATATTTTCTCTATTTTCTTTAAACTATGAACTTGCTAACTTTGCATAAAAGATTCTTGTATCAACTTTTATGTATCTAGGCAAAAAAGACGGAAATTGTTGATACTTCGGATACTTTATCAAGTAAGGACATCTTTGTGGCTACAAGAAAAAGAAAACATGGTCGAGTATACAAAGGCTCATATGAGAATATAATTAGTAAAACTGTAAGAAACTTCTAATTTAATGTTTGCTGTGATTTTTAGTATAGTTTACTAGTTTTCTACTCGTCGGCTCTTTAAGTATGTGATGCATTAAAAGATTTTACTTCAAGCAATACACTAAATAGTTCATATATGGCCTTTCTGCCATGTGCAGAGATCTCTTTGAGTATTCTAAAATATATGACCTTTAGTATCTATAATCTAAGAGGTCTGTGCACATATCTGATAAGGGAAAAGCACTTATTATCTATTACTCCTTCCGTTCCAATCTATGTGAACCTGTTTGACTGGGCACGAAGTTTAAGAAAAAATGAAAGACTTTTAGAATTTGTGGTCCTAAACAAGTCAAAATGAGACCCAGAGTATTTGTGTGGTTATAAAAGCTTCTCATTAAGGGTAGAATTGTAAGTTTAAGCAAAATTATTTCCAAATTTAGAAAGGAGACATTCTTTTTGGAACGGACCAAAAAGGAAATAGCTTCACATAAACCGGAACGGAGGGAGTATATAATTGTGAATCACACCATGGTTTGATGGTAGTCATTTAAGAGTGTTTGTTGCTCTTTAGCATATGGTATCCATATCTTTGTGTATTGCTCTGGTGTCATGCCTGAAAATGAACTCATATGTCATATGTGGTTTCTATCAATGTTCTGCCACGTACATGGTTACCTGCCACGTACATGGTTATCTGCCACGTACATGGTTACTGTTGAAAATATATTCATGTCATTTAAGTTGGATTTAGATCCAACTACTTGGAAGAAATGGACAACACAAGCTCTTGTCTTGTGTACTCTCTTTATGCACAAATAGCTTTAGAAGTTTGAATATTGACGTTTCATGTCATTTATCCATTTTGAATATTGACGTTTCATTTCTTCCATTTTGTTCATAAAGATGATAGGAAAACAATGAGTAATTAGCTCAGTCCATTATCACATGCTTACTCCTTTCGGATAATCTATTAAGTTAATTTGTTCTTAATTATTGACTCAATTTTATTTTCTTAACTCTTTTCTCTTGCATTGGTTTGTAGGCTGAAATGGTGAGAATACAATCAACTCAAGAAAGTAAAGATGGCAGTGATTAAGTTGGCGCTTTTGCATCAGTCATGCGACCTGAGCATCCAGGTCGCAAAAGATTGTATGGTCGAGGAGTTACCAAGACTATCTTAAAAAAGAAAATGAGAGATTCTAGATCCTCTGTAGATGCTACTGATAAGACGATGCAACAAAAAATAGAGGAAATGGAAGAGAGGATGCAACAAAGAATGAAGGAAAAGTTCAATCGTCAGCAGTAACAATCAAGGTCAGTCCGTACCAAGTGTTACACCTCTTCTCTTTCTTCTTCTTCTCCTATTTTTTTATGTGTTTGGGAAGGAGAATTGCTGCATTTTGCAGCAGCTTTGGGAAGGTTATTTTTACAGCTGTTTTACTGCATTTTTTGGGTAATTTTTACAGCTATTTTGTTGTGTTTTTAGCACCTTTTCAGCTGCATTTTAATGAAGGTTTCTGCTGATTTTTTTTATGGAGGTTTCTATGTTTTTACCTGTTCTCTTGCTCACATAAGCATGTAATAATTGTATAACAAAGAACAATCTAGGCATGTTCTAGTTTTGACTGTCATATGATAACCAAATGAAAGGCCTTATTACAAAAGTCATGTTTGATGTAGAACAAAATTTATTTTTGCTGAATGTGCATATTATTTTGTGACCAAGTTCTTGCTCATTCTTTCAAAGTAGAAGAATCTATGGCCAAATATCTCACTGCTATAGCAATTGATTAAATGTGCCTTGGTTACTAATTTATCTCAATTTGCCATTAGATTAGGTAACTAGCTGACTCCTAGCTTATACTTACATTATGAAACTACAAAGGCACTTAGCTATATTTTTACTAACAAATCATTTGATCATGTCCACTTAGTTATAATTTCACTCAACTCTGGTTTTCAGAAACTTTGTCACTTCTTGGTGTCACTCCATTTGTCTTTTTTTTTTTTTTTGGAATTTCTCTGGCCATAACTATCAAGAACAAAGTATTTGGTTCAGTCAAAACAACATCATATATAGTGGAGAACTGAAAACGATATCTGCTCTTCTTTTTCTTTGGTTTTTGCTCTATTCATATAGATGTGCTTGCTCATTATTTAACTGAAACTCAATTAGATCTTGCAACTGATCAAAGTTGAATGTCATGTTCTTATTTTTGTTTCCTTTTTTTTTTACAATGTTTTGGTGCAGCTTATCCATTTTAAGAGTTGTATGTTAATTTCCGTTGGAGGATACTAACGTAAAGGTGGAGTAGATGAAAAAAATAGAAGACCGAGGCAGTGAAGATCTAGACCTTAAGAAGAATTTTGAATTGGTGTAGATGCATGGTCTAGGATTAATGTTTGTTATCAACATTTTGAAACTTGCTTCTGACTCTTGAAATGTAAAACGTGTGCTATTGGGGTAGAACATTTCACTTTTATGAATATTATTAGCTTGTTGGACAATTTAGATTATGAATAGTTTTATTTTGTTATTTATATAAATTTTGGTGATTTATGATTTATCGTATATGTAAATATTTATTTACAATAAGGGCGCTATTTTCGTTTCAATTAAACGGTTACAATAGCCTACTAGAACCGTTGTCATAGGAGTCATGTGACGTTCCAATAGAAAATGTGAACCGTTGCAACATGACCTATAAATCGTTCAAAAATGAGCTATAAACCGTTGCAATAGGTAGTTCAAACCGTTGCAATAGCTGGAAAAAATCGTTCTCATAGTCATATATAGTCGTAACAATATCTTACATAACCGTTGCTTAAGTGATATGGTAACAGTTATTGACCGTTGCATCAAATGTTATGGAAACGAATTTCAACCGTTGCAGTTGATAAGCATAGTCGTTCCAACAGGGAGACGGAAAACCGTTGCGATAGAACATACTATATGTCACGACCCAAAAACCGACCCGATCATGATGACGCCTATCGTGAAACTAGGCCAGCCGACGCAACTCCCGAATCAACCATTTTCCAATAGAAGTTGTTTTTATACCATCTACAAATCAATAATCTCATAATGAAATTTAAAAAAAGAAAAATGCAGAATAATTACACAAGCCCGACATCGGGGTGTCACTCGTCATGAGCATCTACCAAGGTCTGGTCTGAATACAACAAGAGTCTAAAAATGTACTAAATACAGTAATGAAAATGAGGGGAAGGAAAGCAGTGCTGCGAACGTCGTGCAACCACCTTGCTAACTCCGATGACTCCGCCTCTGAGCAATCAACACCGCTACCGGGTTCCGAAATACCTGAATCTGCACACGAGGTGCAGGGAGTAATGTGAGTACTCCAATCCAGTAAGTAATAAGAGTAAATAAAGACTGAGCAGTAAGTGCGTCAACCACGTCACAACACCATAGTGATTACAACCTGTTTCCAAATCAGGATACCACTCAAATCATTTTGTTAAACTCCCACTTCAGTAAAATCCTTTAAANGAGTTGTTTAAAGCATTTATTCAACATTTTCAATAGGGCTCGGTCTAAAGATGAGTGAAAGCAATAAATCAACATATTCGATAGAAACTCACTTCGATAGAAACTCACTTTAAGGAGGAGTGAAAAACATTAAGCTCATAACCAGGCCCCTCACGCAACCATCACTCGTGTACATGTATATAGATAGCCCCTCGGGCAAGCCTATCAGTCACTCGTGACTCAACTCTTACCAATCAGCGCTTACACTCAGCACTCACACTCAATAGATACCATATAGTAACCGCTGCGGCGTACAACCTGATCCATATATTGCTGCGGCGTGTAGCCCGATCCATATATATAGTCGACTGCACTCACTGGGGGTGTGCAGACTCCGGAGGGGCTCCTACAGTCCAAGCGCTATATCGTTGCGGCGTGCAGCCCGATCCATATACATATACATATACATATATGTATATATATATGGCTGCGGCGTGCAACCCGATCCACAAATGTATAATCCTCACAACTAGGCCCTTGGCCTCTCTCAGTCATTAACCTCACAATCAGACCCTCGGTCTATCTATCTCAGTCATCAACCTCACGATCACTCGGACCATCAGTAAAACAGGGAACTCAGCCCAAACAATTTTCATATTTTAAGAAGTAAAGTGATAAAACCAGATTTAAACAATAAACATGTAAAACATGACTGAGGATATGCTTTCAAAACAAATAGAGTGAGGAAAAATAGTGAAAGTGCCCCTAAGGGTCTCAGCAGGTCGGTACAAGGCCCAAACATGACATACATCCCAAAAATAATATCAATCTCTAAAATATGCAATATCATAAGATTTCAAATCAAATATGCGACTTAACAGTCATACGGGACGGACCAAGTCACAATCTCCAACAGTGCACGACTCCACGCTCATCATCTAGCGTGTGCGTCACCTCAAAGTAGCACAACGATGTGAAATCCGGGGTTTCAAACCTTCAAGATAGTATTTACAATCATTACTTACCTCGATCCGGTCCAAACTCTAGCCCGCGATGCTTTTGCCCTCACGAATCGACCTTCGGATGCTCCAAATCTAGCCACAATCAGTAGATAACTATTAAAATATGCTAAGGGAACAAAGCCCACTCGAAAATATTCAATTTACATAAAAAATCCTGAAATTGGTCAAACACGGCCCCCGGGCCCACATCTCGGTATCCGATAAAAATCACATCAATAGAATCCTCATCCTCTCACGAGTCTAGACATACCAAAAACATCAAAATTGGACCTCAATTGCCCCATCAAATTCCCAATTTACACTCTCCAACTCTAAGCCCTAATTCCCCAATTATTAGGCTTTAATTTTCACTTTTTTCATGATTAAACAAGTAAGAATCAACATAGGATCGAGTATTGAGTTCAAAAAATCTTACCTCCAGGTATTATCTCTTGAATCTCTCTTCAAATCCTCTCAAAAAGCTCCAAAATCGCCCAAAAATGGTAAAAGTTAGCTCCAAAATCGCGCACAATGGCTATTTAAACATTCTGCCCAGGCATCAAAAACGTTCTTCGCGAACACGGTCAATACCTCGCGTTCCCGAAGCACAAAATAACTTTGAACCAAAATTACTCTTCACGATTGCGACCAGCCACTCGCGAACGCGATGGCTCCTCAGCTTGACCCTTCGCGATCGCATTACCTCTCTCGCGAACGCGATGAATAAAACACCTCAAGCCCAGCTGGCCCATTTCCTCTACAGGAACGCGGAGCTTCACCCGTGAACGCGATGCCCAAACAATCAGCCCTTCGCGAACATGAAGGCTAAAATTCCAGCCTTCACCAGCTAACCCTTGCGAACGCGAGGGCCTACTCGCGAACGCGAAGGCCATTTTTCTGCAACACTGATCAACAATTTTCTACAATTCCAAGCAACATGCAATGGTCCGATTGACCACCCGAAACTCACCCGAGGCCCTCGGGACCTCAACCAAACATGCCAACATATCCCATAACCTCATTCAAACTTGTTCCAAACTTCGGAACGCTCAACGCAACATCAAAACACCAAAATCATATCGGATTCAAGCCTAAGAATTCTAAGAACTTTCAAATTACGCTTTTGATAAAAAACCCAACCAAACCACGTCCGAATGACCTGAAATTTTGCACACACGTCACAAATGACACAACGGAGTTACTGCAACTTCTGGAATTCCATTCCGACCCCTATATCAAAATCTCACCTATCAACCGGAAAACACCAAAATCTCAACTTCGCCAATTCAAGCCTAAACCTTCCACGGACTTCCAAAATGCATTTCGATCATGATTTTAAGTCTCAAATCACCTAACAGAGCTAACCAAGTCATAAAAATTCCGATCCGAGATCATATACGAACAAGTCAAATCTTGGTCAAACCATTCAAATTTCAAGCTTCAAACTGAGAACTGTTCTTCCAAATTCATTCTGATTACCCTGAAAACCAAAACCAACGGTTTACATAAGTCACAATATATCACACGGAGTAAGTCATGCCCGAGAACTGGCGAGCAAAGTGCAAAAGCTCAAAACAACCGGCCGGGTCGTTACATCCTCCCCCACTTAAACATACGTTCGTCCTCGAACGCGCCCAAAGTTGTTCCAAAAGCCAATCAATCGCTGAATAACCTTACCTTGCACATACCCGGGGGTGGGCCCACGTCACCCTATCTCGTATAGGTCCGATAACACAATGTAACTGAAATTTCACAGTCCAACCTAGCCCATGAACCATAGAACCACATTTCCACTTCTGAAATCATCCACAAGATCAAAATCTCACATCTATACTCTGACTAAGCCCGAACAAGTTGTAATAACCCATACCCGCAACCTCGGTGCAATTACATGATATACCACATAACTCAAACACCTGCAGCGCTAACTTCTAATCACAGTAGCTGCATACAACAACCGAATATCGACAGGAGACCTCTTATCAACTAAAGTCTCATTCCAACATTTTCATATTCTGCAAATGATAAATGAAACACGCAGTAAGCCATAACCGTTTTTCAGATCAACCATTCATGAAGACACTTCTCCTTTGTCAAAGACCATAGCAAATTTCTGCGCCGAACTTCGATGTTATCCTTCCAACATGCTGAAATCAAATCTGTTTGCAATCATTAAAGATCCCGATGATCTCATCTAATCCAACACAACTACTCTAGTGACATTGACACATCAATACAGACTAAAGCCATGACTTGTGCAATCCGTGCATCAATAAGCCACAATCCGAACTTACTCAAATCATGAAAATGACTCAAATTAAATAGTTGTACAACAAGCTCACTAGTACCACCACAACACAAGGCTGAGAACCCGCCACACATTGTAGAAACAGATCACACAAATCTAACCCGTAGGATCATACTTCCACACAGCTTCACTCCAATGCGCGACCTCATCCAAACACTAGTCCACATGAGACACCTTAAGTTACGTTGCTCAAAATCGACAACCGTGCACAATATGATGTCTAAAACCAAAGCAATCATCATAACCACTGCGAGACAATTACATAACACCACACAACTCGAAGGGACATAATCGATACGCCATCCACCAAGTAATACCCAGTGCTCTTCCCGCTCGAATTCCACTAGAGGCCCCAATAACACCACACAACTTGTGCCTATAACCAGCAAATCCTAACGTCTCGCAACACAGAAGATAACTCATAGATCCCCCTGATTACTAGCACCTCCATAACAACCGAATCAACACATCCCTCACCAATAGCAACTCGAAGTTAACAAAGCCGTCTCGATACAGAACACACATCCATATAGGTCTACCAATGAACCACACATCAACTCTAGTCACCCACAACAGATAAATTACCTCTGAAAGTTCACAATGACTGAATCATAGCACATACTATCATCTGAATAACTTGCCCATATCTTTACCGTCCACAACCACGAGTTAACCTGTTTATGAGAACTTTCAGTCTCCAAGTCCATAAGGCACACGAATTACCATATCTGATCCCAATTTT